AAAAGCCAGTATATATGTACAGCCGGTTCTCTAACTGCAGAAACTTTTTCAATTATTTTGATCATGCTACATCGCTCAGTGACAGGTTTATTGGCAATTTTGACGTGCTCTTTATCTTTTCGAAGGATAACGGACTCAGCGATTCTTTCAACAGAAGCACCTGCCAGACTTTGGCTGTTCTCAGACGTCCTTGGTATTTGCTGGACATCATCGCGCCGTACAAGCTTTCCACTGCGAGTAGACGATGGGGTGTCCAACCGACTAGGAAGGGGTCATAAATATGTTAGCTAAGTTAGCGACGAGAGATTGATTTTCAACACAAATCAAGGACATTTCGACTCGGCTAAAGCTTTCCATTAGGGAAACTATTTGTCTGGTAATCTCTTTAGGAAACAAAGCGAGTATCATAATCATGAGTGGGACCTTACCAGCCAGGCGTAAACTGAACAGTTATGATTGTTTTCATTATCTGGTAGGCAATAGTGGAAGAGAAGTTACTGGAAGTCATTTTATAATATTTAAGTTTTGCTGCCGTGATAATAGTTTGTCGAACGAAGTTGTACTTTTTTTTTTCATTAATACTGCGAAATCTACATTTCTGGTAGAGTTTCAGATATGGCTACGGTCGATATCAGGATTTGCAGAATGATCCCCGCTTCGCTATTATCAATGAGCCATTTGTTTCGGAGCAGGGAAAGGGCAATTTTCTAGAAATAAAAAACAAGTTCTTGCAGCGCCGATACAAGGTATTTATGAGCTGTTTTGAAATCCATTGCCGCTATTGAGGTTTTCTCAAAATGCCACTTCAAACCGCCAGCTGAGCTAACGAGACGGTTTTTTGCCTCCTCCCTCCTTTTGTACAGCGAGCGATATTAGTCATTGAGATTGAATTAGGCGTTGAGAAGGAAACGCGCGCTCTGTTCGATTTAGGGACTATTGATTTTGATTGTTTCGACTCGAAGGGGCAAAGCTAGTGGAGAGTTGCTGTACAGGTTTCGAGCAGAGGTTGTCGAATTTTTTTGTGTGCTCTTGCATGTGCAAATAAAGATATTCAGAAGGGCAGGAGGAGTGCAGCTTTGACTTTTACACTGTTCTGTTTCAGAGATTTGGTGTGACGCATACGTTGTCGAGGATTGAGCTAATACATTCCTTCTCTATGCATTCCCGTGTGGTGTTATTCAGCTGGTAACATGCTGTTTTGCATTTCAGCTTTTGGAACAGGCGCTTGTGATTGAGGAACAATTGCGGCGAGCAGCTTACCTGAATTTATCTCAGACCAATGCAGATGGCACACAGCAGCTGAATGAGCGTTTTGCGGATATCGAAAGCTTGGCGGAAAGCCACCAGCATCTCTCCAAAGAAAGCTCCCAGGGCAACAAAAACGCAACTGTTGTTCTGCATAAGGTTGTTGCTTTGTTTGCACATTAGCTGTAGTTCGCGACTTTTGATTTTATAGAGGATTTTTCTGTTTGGCAGGTGGGAAATCCTTGACAAAAGGTTCGTCCGAGCTTCGTGTGAGTTTGCTGAATATTGTTTCGCACTGCGTAAGCATCCCGGGGAATCACCTGAGAATAATGATTAATTTTAGGTTCTGAACCAACTGGAGGAGTTACTTTCGGATATGAAGGCAGATGTTTCACGGCTGCCTGCAACTCTTGCTCGACTGCGACCTGTAACGGAGCGTTTGGGCATGACCGAGAGGGCGTATGTTCTTAATTCTCTTTGACGTACACGGCGTGTTTCTGGCATTTTATTCACCCAATAATTTTTTCTTTTTTTTTAGTATATTAAGCCGGTTGACGACGCGCGATCCAGAAGCTGCATCAGGTAAAAGTCCATTACCTCCGCCTGGTCCATTTGTGACGCCCACACTGGGACAACAGCTTGCTGGAATTCAACCCAAATTTGCTGCGTTATCAAGGCTCTCCGTGAACGATACATCCAGCGAAGTGAAAAAAGAACGTGTTCAAGAAGAAGGCGAAAAAATTAAGAAAGAAAAGGAGCAAGAGAAAAACACCAAAAAGGAGGAGCAAAAAGGTAATTTCACCTTTCTATTCATCAGAATGGATAAATGATGGTAAGACCAGATTTATCGTAAACCAGATACAACTTCTTACAGAACAGTCAAGTGACATCCCTTGTTG